TCCAATCCCTCACATTCTGTGATTCTGTGACCTGTTTTTTCATTCTGTCACACCTGAGTGTTTTTAACAAACTCATATCCATGTGAAATTAAATTCCTTGAGAAATTCATCTCTCTCTGGATCCCTACTGTGAGCCACACTTTGCCATGAGAGAGCTCCTGCTTGTGCAGAAGCCTGCAGGTGCCAGAGGAGGAGGTGGATGCAGGACAGCTGAAGCAGCAGCCTGTTCCCACCTTCCAGCACCAAGAGTATGGCCATTCCTACTGTGTCAGAGCTGAGGATCTGTCTGATAATTTATTACTTTTATTTTAAATACATATAGGGAATCAAAGAGTACCTGTAAAGCCAGATCTAGCAGGGACTGCTGCAAAGGCAAAGAAAGCAAAGAAGCCATCTAGGACAGCAAAATCACCACTCTTACCAAAACATCAGCAAGCTTTAAAAAAAAAAGTGTCCTGCTAAAGAAGTGTCATTTTATATAGCTCAGTGTACACATTCTGACAAAAAGAAAATACCAACAATGTGGTCTGGATTCTTTTTTATAAAAAAAAAAAAAAAAACAACCTAATAATTTTGTTAGTTGCTGTAACCCCAGGGCAATGAGAAACATACACTGCTAATTTGTGGGTCTCTACTGAATGTTGATTTTAACCTAAAAAGTGCTTCAGATCATTAGCAGCTGATTCAAATACTGTCTATGCTGTGCTGAAGGTAAAGAGCACGTTTTAAGAAATATACGCTTTATTTGGGGCTTACAGAAAAAAAAATATTAATTGTGAACTCTGTCCCAGCTTGATTAATCAACCCATGGCATATCAGGTGCTGTTTCAGACAAAAGAAAGAAAATGAGTATGTTATGTGTTGTGTGTTAGATGACCATGTGGGATTGAGCATTTGAGATGTTCTCTTAGTCTCTTTTCCATCTTGAAAAAACAGGACGGGAGTGTTATTTGGGGATATCTGCCCTGTCTGCAGATCCTCTCTCTGCTGGACCAGGTGTTTAGTTGAGCTAGGTTGGGCCAGACCCCTCATCATCAGCTGTTCTAATCAGAACACCTTCTTAGATAATCATTAAACTTTAAAAAATTAATTGCAGTAGTAAATGCTGCAGTAAGTAGAAATATTGAAATAAAATGCTTATACCACACCCTGATTAGCAAATACACAATTTCTTCTGAATTAGGAATATTACATTTTCACTGTCATGGAGTGTCTAACTCCAACCCGAGGTGCCACCACTTGCCCCCAGCCAGGAGCGAGGCAGGGCACAGCCAGCAGATGCATTTTGCTCTCACCCTGCACGCAGTCCCAGGGACCAGGTCCTGACCTGTCCCTCTGCATGTAAAATCTTGCTGGAGTGGCAGCCTGCTCTAGCAGGGGGTAACTTTGTTTTCTGAGGCACTAAAAGGTCAACCAAAGTTCTCACAACTTTTTCGGGTTTTTTTGCTTTTCAAGTTTTATTTAGAAACTTTATTAGAAACTTCCTCCTTTGAATTGCTGCTATAAGTACGGAGGTTTAAATTGCATGCAGCCATGAATACACACTGAACTCAAGTGATGTTATGGACTATGTCCCTATTATATAAAATTGCCACCACCGCTGCACCTCTTTGCAACATTTCTGTGGGGCTTTGCTGTGGGAGTTGTATGCAACTGCAAATAGATTAGCTTCCTTAATTCCTTCTAAGAGAAATGTTTTTGAATGTTATTCGAACTATATTTGAAATATTGTTTTACTGTATTCAAATAGTCACAGAAACTGTTTATACCTGAGGCACAGCTTGCAGGAAGTTCTCGGGCTCCCCTTTGTAACATAGCTGGAGCCTGTCAGCTCTCAAATGAAAAGCAAAAGCATCCCTTTTCAGGGAGAGCAAAAGGAAGCTCATATGTAGGGGTCATCACCACTTTCCTCTGTGCCAAATGCTCTTGGAGGCATGTTCTGAAAGAGCTCAACAGTGAGGGCAGAGGAGCTTGTCGTTGTTTTTAATAAGCAGCTGATTGGTATTTTTTGCATGTCCCTAAAGCAGTAAGCTACATGGATAGGGGTTGCTGTTGTTAGTACCAGGCATCTTCCCACTGTCATTCTGTTTCTCTTTGATTTCATAAATTGGAGCCTGATCCTAAAAGCAGACAGATCCTCCCATCAGGCCTCCTCTGGCCTCTCTAGCAGATAGGTTGCAGCTTTGGACCTCTGTGTCCAGTAGACCTGATTTAGATCCATGTAACATTCTATCATCTGTTTTATAAAGAAGAATTTCAAGAGTCATGTGAGGGATAAATAAATCCAAATGTAATGTTTTATCAAGAATGTCTACATCTCTGTCATGCCATGACCTAGGTTCCTTCTCCATTTATCCTTACAGACAGTGTTTTGATGTATTTTTATTAAAGTGCCAGTTTTTTAACATTGTAGAACTTCCATTTCTAATGCTGCCTAAAAGGAGAGGATCCCCGGAAACGCCCATGATCTGCATCATTCATGACACTGAGTTGTTTTGTGGGTCACTACAGAGAGTGTTTTAATTGAGCTAAATAGAGCATACAAAAGATCAATGGAGCATTGTGAGATTTTGTCATGTAAGTTAAAGTAGGCACAACCATTTAATTTGGTACTTGTCTTCAGCCCAAGAGACCCATTTTCAAAAATGTATTTTGATTATATTGCAAATTACCTTTAAAAAGTCTGCACAAGGAAAATACTTCCCTCAGAATTAGGGTTAGGTTAAACTATGCTTCCATTGATATATTAATACCAAAAAAAGCTTTTCAGTGATGCTGAGCTTGATAATTCCTGTGGAAATGACTGACAGTTTTAAAGCAGGGTTTCCAAACAGGAACGTTGCTGGTCTGTCACAGCTTAGGTCAACGGGAAAACTGGCAGCTTTTAAGATCCTACAAATACATTTTTAAATAGTTTGAAGAGTTAAACTGACAAATAGACTGTTAAATTGTTGAAATGACAGTTTTTGAAATTGTCATATAGCACATTGCTGCTAGAGCTTGTTTCTGCTGGAAGTGGATAGGAAAAGGCTCTGCCCTTCCCACAAAGGTTTCAGTGTTTTCTCATCATCCCGAATCACGCTGACTAGTTAAATGACTAGATTGTCAGGATTTAGTGATTCTAAATAATTTATTTGCTTTATCAACCTTATAATTTTAAAATACTTTTTTATGAATTAATTAAGACTTCAACAGGAATAATAATGTATCAGACCAAAATAATGTACAAGTTTTCAAGTCTCTAATCTTTCAAAATATTTTAATGGAGTTTTGAAGAAACCAATGCTTTAATGATGAAAACATATTTTCAATAAAAAATATTTAATTGAAATATTCTGCAACAGCTCTTTTAATTATCACTGAATAAAAATAAGATAAAATGTTGTACAGAAAAACTGAGAAAGATATCATCACATATTAGAAACACAGCAGTCCTTTTTCATACTCTGTTCATGTGTTACTTAAAAACTGTTACCCTAAATGCTCAAAAAGATGAAAAGAGAATATTTTCAGATAGTACCTTCATATTTAATGACTGTATAGCAGATAAGGCGGAAATGTGCCTTTTCATATCTCATTGATCTATAAACCTTATATTATAAAAAATTAAACAGAATGCAACTATATTTTAAACGTTTTTATGACATAAAAATAATGAAGTGGATAGAACGATACAACATTAAATATTTGTTAATAGCATTCATTAAAAGCCTAATTTTTTTAGTAATCCAAGCTTTTCTGACAATTTATTTTCAATATTTACATTTACTTTGCTTTGTTTGAGTCATCTTCGTTTAAAAACTAGTACTGAATATGTAAGTAACGTCGTAGGAATTGTAATTCAAACACTGCATTTTGTAGTCCTCTGTAAGTAGCAGCAGCTACTTTTGTATGTACAAATTAACTCCTAGAACAAGTTTTGTATGAGTTTATCAGTAACGTGCCTCTGCACATTCTTTGTCCACTGTTGACCTCTCCAGGTGGGACATATTTGGAGCAGTCATTGGTACGGAATGTGGGACACTGGAATCTGGCTCAGCTATGGTATTTCTCAGAGACGGAGAAAGAAAAATATGCACTCCATACATGGACACTACAGGTTATGGGAACTTAAGATTTTATTTCAATATGGGTGAGTATATATTCCTAATGTAATATGACATGTGGTGTGTGTCAGATTTAAACTGTGCAGTGTGCATAGAAATACTCCTCCGAAGAGGATAGCTCTGATTTGTGACTGTGATGCCCCTGAGGATGTAAGACTGACCGTTCTTGGTCAGACCGTGAGTCCACCCTTCTGGATGCCCACACAGGTGTGCAAACATGGTGGGCACATAAATACACCTCCCAAAAATATTTTCCCAGATGGCACTAACTTGTGGCTGAAAATATTTCTGAAGCAGACAGGGCACTCTGGGTTTAGTAGCCCTTGGTGGGCATGTCTTCCATTGATTTATCTAGCCTTTTTTTTTGACTGATATAAACATTTAGCTCCAGGTTAAAATTTAGTACAGAATTTACATGAAGATGTGTCCATGTAAGGTTGGTGTCTAAACTTCCTTTATAGTTAGAGAGGTAGTCAGTACCGTTGCTGAAAAACCCATTCAGTTCAGAGTGAGATATCTGTGCTAGGCCAGCTGAGCACCTTCCTGGACTCCACTGACTGTGTGGATTGGATATCCCTCAATATAAAGGAAGCTTTAGCACCTTGTGCACACATAGGTATGGGTTCACTCACTCTCAGTCCTCAGGCAAGATTCATTACACAAGCACAGGTTGTTGCGACTTGGGGCGTCCAAGCAGATCTGAGATATTGGCACAAGACTATCAGATATAACCCAGGATTTGTGGTAAAGGTGCAGCCTGCTGGAGAAGCAGGTAAGCCAAGCAGGTCCCTCTACAGTGTCTAAAATGATCTTGGTACTAGTTTTTATCAACAGAAACTGTCTGTTGTGCCCACAAGACCCTGTAGCCACTCCATAGTTAAACAATTCTTCACATGAAGATGTATCTTGTCTTGCATCTTCTAATTTCATTTGATGCCCCTTACTTCTTATACTAGAAGAGATAGTCATATCTTTGTCACCCTCACCACACCACAGAGGATTTTACAGGTACCTGTCATATCACCCTGCAGTCATATCCATGTGGACCCTGGTGTTAATCCATTAGAGTGAACAGAGTTGCACCCAAGGATGAGATAGGAGTAGCACAGAGGTGAGAAAGCCTTTCCTGGCTGAACCCACAAAATAGTTTCTGCTTACAAGGCTCTTACTATGTTCATAAACATTCTCCTCTGCTTATATATTGGCCCAGGGTGAGATTTACACAGTGTGCGCTGTAGTGTGCTACAGTCTTGGAGGAGGCACAACCTACATGTGGCATCCTTAGTGAAAAGCACTGATGTGGTGTGAGCATCACCTGTGGACTTTCTGTGGATGGGACAAAGTGCAACTTCAGTGATTTACCAGGGCTAAGAAAGCAGTCAAGAAAAAAACCCTGTCCTGCTACTTGTCCTCCCCACTGTTGTCAGGGCAACTACATTAGTCTGGTGCTGCAACAGAACAAAATCCCTATGAACATGGTGGTTATTATTCAGTACCGCACAGTGTTTTTCCAGAACTTACTTTGCACATAAAGGAAGTTGCATGATGTTATTCTCTCAACACTAGTTATAGAGGAGCTGAGGGTTTTTGCTTAAAGTAGAGAATAATAGAATAATAAAGGAGGAAGCAGAGTCTAAACTTGTGACCTCCATAAGCAACCTTCTGAATCAACAAGAAAAAACACCCTTTATTTTAGTGGAAGACCTCATGTTGTTGTCCTAAATTGTCGCACATCTCCTCTCTGTTACATGAATTACCAATAAAGCACAGGAAAAAGAGGATGCTTTTTCCCAGTTCTTCCAAGCATTACAACACCTGCAAGAGAAACAGGAAAGAAATTTGCTCAACCTTCTGAACTTAGGGGAGAAGTTGTCAGCACATGCAGGCACAGAGGATAGTGTCTGCATGTATGAAAAATACTTGAAAAATATATTCTGTATGTACTTCTAAATTAAATAAATAATACTTTAAGCATTCAGGCAAGCAAAGGATTTGAAGGGACACATGGATGTTCCTTATTACAGTATAAGACACATCAAAGATGCACATCTTATCTAGCTCTGTGGACTGATTTGCCTATTCCATTCCAAGAACTGGCCATCTGTAGTGAAAACAGCAAAGAAAGTGTTTCATATATGCTTTATATACTTTAAAAGACTACTTTACAGACTTTTCAAAGAAGCTTCATCATCCTATTTTTTTCTGGTTTGTGGGGTTTTTTAAATACCTGCAATATCCATAGTGTACAGGGAAATGATGTTTCCTGTTTCAATTACAGATACTTTGCTTTAAAAACTTTTTTCCGGAACACCAAACCAGTGTGATGATGTCCATCTTGTAACTGTAATGCAGAGCTTAATGTTGAGATTTACCAATACTTCTGCTCTTTCAGAGAAGGTTAATAAATATTTTGGGTTCTACCAATATGAAGATATTTTAAATGCTGCCGCATTCCAGTGAGACAACCATGTCACACATTTTGTTGGACTCCATCCATCCCATTTAGGATATGATGTAGATAGTAGAAGCAGTAGCACATTAACAAAGGTACACAGCAGTCTTCCTCATTTCCTCCTGAGAGCAAATTCTCAGCTGCCAAACTGTCAACTGAGAAGTATTTAAGAGGTTGTCAGGTACAATGTGTGTGGCTGCATGGAGTGTGAGTGCTAAATAACAGTTTACTGATGAGAACTCAAAAAGCAGAACATTTCTGTGTAAATAAGATTTAAAGCATATGGGTAGAAGCGTTGCTTTGGGCACAGCATTTTCTATTAAAATTGTTTTGATAATCTGATTAAGAGAGTTACTTGAGGTTTTCATAATTGTCAACCCCCTTGATCTCTGGTATGGTGTATCTGATCAAATAGTTCTTACATATTGTGTCCTTAGGGCTGATGTTCTTTTGTTGCATATCCTAAGTTAAATAGAATCTGGTTGTAATTACCTTTGTAATTATGGCTGTATAATATGATTCCACTTTCCAATAGCAAGGGCTTCAATTAATTTTTTTCTCCCATAAATGTGTATTGTACAGGGGGAACTTGTGATTCTGGAGAATCCCATGAAAACGATGTCATACTTTATGCCAAGATTGAAGGCAGAAGGGAACACATACCTCTTGATACCTTGACCTATGCTGCTTACAAGGTAAATCATCTTAAACAAAGTAGGTGGATGAGATGGATAGATCAGTCTATTTTTAAGCCATCACAACAATGTTATATGTTGTATTCTGTAGGGGCAGTCAGACGTGATCTTCCCAAGCACATAAGTCATATGCAGATCTCGCAATGATAGGGTGTCTTTGCGACCTGGCTCTGCAGTTATTGATGATTATTCCACCCCAGAGCAGACTGTGGTGTTGGTTAGTGCCAGGATAACAGGCCAATGGGCAATGGGCAAAATTCTCAGCCATCACCTGACAACTTTGGTGATAACTCCTCCTCACAAATAATTACTCCTGTATCCAGTCAAGTTCCTGCTAGCCACAGTTTGATGCTCAGGAGCTACATCCTGAGAGGGTCAGTCATGGTGAGATCAGTGAGTGGGAGGAGAGTGACTGGGAAATGCCTGGTGCAGGAAATTTCACATTTTACACTCAAATACAGTTGTGTGCCCTCTTAGAGGGTCTACAGTGATGTGGGCGTGAACTCAGCCATAGGATGTGGTTGCTAGCAGTGTGCACAGGCAGCTTCTCCTCTGATGATAGTGCAGCCTCCTTCCAACCGTGTCCACCACTCTCCCGCAGGACAACAAGGACCTCGAGCATGCTGTCAGAATCCTTCCTCTCTAGGGAAAGGAAACATTTAGACCACATCTACCCTGAGTAACCCAGCCCTGAGGTGCCCTCAGTGTGCTGATGTAAAAAAGATAACAAAAATTAATGCATCATACATATACACATGGATGCGCTAGAGGTTGAAATGCAATATGCTTATACAGTATGTCGGAAATCTGGTGGTAAAGATGCAACTGATTTCAAGCACAGATCTGTGTGCATTTGCACTGTAACTCTAGCATCCAGAGAGCAAATATTTACAGTAGGGTTTGGCCTGAGTTTGGTTGAGTCACTCGCATTGTTTCATTGTCCGTGGCTTCCCTCCTCGCCTGCTACTGTGTGAAAGACAGGGTAGAATTTTTTAAAACTAAGGAAACTGTAATTGTAAAATAATAAAAAATTAATTGGGGAACTTGGGGAGAGATAGGATCTGTAATTACACCGAATTCATTGTGGAGGTTTTTTTTTCAAACAAGCAGTTTTAGAGCTGACATCCTCTTTTGACATAATAAAGGTCTCATTATGTTGCTTTAGGACAAAGGCTAAGCTTTGTAAAGCAGTGCTTTCATTTATTTCCACAACATAACATCCTCCCTGCTTACGCCTGTGAACTCATGCTGTTACTCCATTCTCATGTATTCAGACTAGACATGCCATTGCTTTGCGTTTGCTCCTGTGAGCTGAAAGGCTGGGGGGCAAGTAGCATCTTCCATTACCAATGAAGCACTGAAAAAATAAACTAGTATTTGTCAGAACACAGAAGTTACGGTCTTTTCTACAGCATCTTTACAATGAAACAAGCTGATGCCACTAAGGTGATATGCAGCAGTAGCACCCAGAGCATTAATAGCTATGCACATAGTATAAAATGTTTTCATTTGCGATCTTCTGTGGAAAAAGGTGGCTTAAAAAAGTTAACAGAATGAAGTAAGGAGAGGGAAAGCACATGTTTGGTTTAGCATATTTGAAATTACTTTTATGTTTTGAATAGTACCATGTGACCTTTTTAAAATAATATTTGTTTTACTTAAGCCGGATTTAATTTCTTTTAAAGGTTCCATCTTTGGTTTCTGTTGTCATTAGTCCGGACCTGCAGACTCTGGCAACTAAGTTTTGCCTGAAGCAAAAGAGTCACCAAGGCCACAACAGGAACATCTGGGCTGTGGATTACTTCCACGTCCTTCCAGTGCTCCCTTCCACAGTGACTCACATGATCCAGTTTTCCATCAATTTGGGTTGTGGAACTTATCAACCTGGTAACAGGTACAGGAAGCAAGATTTCTCTTCTGATTATCAGCTTTCTAGCACATTTTGGCCTATAGCATCTATATGAGTATTTGGATTTTTCTTTTCTCGAAAAGAACAAAGCCAATTAATTATGACAAGTATAAGCTGCTCAAAAGCTAATGTTTCTCTTGATCTCCACAGGCCCAGATTTATACATCTCACATGCAATAAGGAGACTATTAAATAGCTTTCCAGGTCAAAACTTGCTTTTCCTAATCCATTATTCTGAAATATGCTCATGATTTCAGAGTGACTTTTGCTCTGGTTTCTAATGGATATGAGATTTACCTCTTAATGCTGTGTAAGGGAAAAAGCAGAAAACTGCCCTGCTGACCTCCCAGAGATTAGTAATGCCACAAGCATATCTAATTCTTGTGAGACTGGTGATAAATGGCCCTCATCTTGACGACCAGCAGTGTGAGGACCTCACTGCCTGTACACTGACCATTGAGCTCTTTTGCTGGCTTCACTTCATGGGGTCATTCAACATTATTTATTCCATGGAGTTAAGGGGAAGGGAATGGGAAAGAAGGGAGTAATTTTCTGTTCCATATTTTGTAGAATATTATAAATGTTGGTTGGAAGGGACCTTCACAGGTCATCTAGTGGGCCCTGCTGCTGCAGGAGGGATTGTTACCAGCACGTCAGGTCAGCCATGCCTTTGCCTGCCCATTACTTGAAAAATTCCATGGATGGACATTGTGCTACCTCTCTGGGTGACCTGCTCAAGTTAGAAAGTGTTTCCTAGCGTCCAGTCCAAAACTCTGAAGCCATGTCTTTATGGCTATTGCCCATTCTACTATGCCTGCCAGTACTGAGGAGAGTTTGCCTCAGTTTGTGAGTGCCCTCTGCACCATCACAGGCTGCTGCAGCTCACCCTCCTTAACAGGCTGAACAAGCTAGCTCCCCGGCCCCTCCTAGCTCCATGCTCGAGGGCATCTTGGTCATTTTCTGCTCCACCTCTCCAGTTTCTTAACATCCTTCTTCAAATAAGGAACCCAAAACCAAACTGTCCGCTGTCTCTCTTTCCTTATGTGCATATGAGACTGTTTATCCTGATATTTTATGAGAATTAAGTTACTTTATGTTTTTATAGAGTCAAGAGTTTAAAGTAAGAGACTGTAAATGCTTTCATATCCATGTCCCATGACATATACTTCCAACTGGAAAGAACTGCATTAGCACTGACAGTCCTAGCAGACGTGCAGGGCAGCAGAATTCAAGAGGCAGCAAAAATAAAGACATTGTACTTATATTTGATAGGAAGGGAAGGCAGCAACTTTTTTCTATGTCAAAAGTGAAAATTTTGCCTGTAAACACTCCTGGCCTGTGAATGTGTGTTATATAAAGTCTCTGTCTCAGTCTGTTATCTGATGGGGATCAGTATATATTTTGAAAAATTAATATTTTTCCTTCATATAACTATTTCTGAAGCAGAAGTGAGCTTCTTCATAACAAAAGAAGCATTAGATCCCCAGTATCCCTATTTGTATTTCCCAAATACAGCAGCATTTCCCATCTCCTGGTCTACAGCTTTATTCATAACACTTTCATTACTGCAAATGTGAGAGACTCGCGCTGAATATACGCAGTAAATATGACCCTCTAAGGTATCAGTACAGTTAAATCTGAAATAAATTAGTCAAAACCTCCATAAACCATTTTAATACACACTTAAAATATCACTGTGATAGTACATTTAAATAAAGTAATATTGTCAGCAAATTATAATGAAAAGGAAAAGTTATAATCTAATAACTTAGTATTGAGGTGATGAATTATGACTTTTATAATGTTCCACTGACATTATTTAAAATAAAACAGAATATTGCAAGCTAATTATATGGAGGAAATTACAAGAGTATTTCAGTAAAATACTAAATCCTTAATAAATCAAGCACTTTCTATATTACTTTTTCGAGATCCTCAGAATGGAAAAGATCTAAGGATTTCCTTACACTCCTAGATTGTAAACAGTGGGGGTTTTTAAGAATGCAGTGAAACAGGGAAGGAAAAATTGTACTAATAACTTCTTGAAAACTGAAGTTGTCAATGGACGTTTGGGAGAATGGGTTTAATAACTCATTGTCATACATTCAGTGGATGGTCTCACAGAGTTTCCAGTTCTCTAATGTCACTATCTGCACATTGATGGTTTGGTTTACTGCTAGTTTATGAAACAAGAGAATGACAGCCTTTTTCCAAGCAAATCTGGAGGTTTTGCATACAGTTATCTCACAAAATTCATAAAAATTCACCAGTGATCTCTCCAGGCTCTGTGAGCTGGAAGGAAGCTTCCAAATGCCACCATGGTTGAGCAGTGCAGAGGCTCCCACGGCTCCTGGGGGCTCTGCCTGCCATGGCTGCTCTCTGAAGGGTGCCCTTCCCCAGGTGCCCTGCACCCTCTGCAGTCCTCAGTGGGGGCTGGCCATTTTCACCGTTCCATAGTGATTTTCTGATCTCCATTTAGGCACAATGGGAAGAGGAGGCAGATGAGGAGTCTGATGAAATTAATATTTGTTGGCAATGGGAGGGAAGAGCCAGCCAGTGCACGAATAACTCATGGTCTTTTATCACCTTCTGGAGATGTAATGGTTAGCAGCTGGGAGTTATAAGTGTCCTGTGATCACATGATGCTGTCTAGCTCTGATTAATCCAAGTGTTCTCCTGATTGTTTTTGAAACCATTTCTAGATGAAATACAAGAGTAACATCATCTCATTTAACAGCAGCAGCATAAAACCACTAGCTAGATGGTGGCCAAACAAGGGCTAGGTGGTTAGATAATCCTTAGTCTATAGGCTACCCTTTTGATTTTTAAACAGTCAAATTTGTTTAATGTTGTATTTTCAGGATCTTTTGTGTTTGAAGTCTGCTTCAAATTATTTCATGTTTCAGCATCAGTTATTAGGTATAGCAGATTTATTTGGTGGTTTCTCAGCTTCTACATTCATATCTATGCCAGATAGGCTCACAGTGTCTTTCTTTCTTTTCCTTACTTTGTTATCAGTGTCAGCTTGGAGTTTTCAACCAACCATGGTCGCTCTTGGTCCCTGCTCCACACCGAGTGTTTGCCTGAGATATGTGCTGGGCCTCACCTCCCCCATAGCACCATCTATGCCTCTGAAAATTACAGCGGGTGAGAGTGTTCTCTGCAAAGCTAACTGAGATGCAAGATTAGAAAAGTGAATTATAGGTGACAGAAGAAAACAGCAAACCATGCAACCCTGTGTCATCTTTCATTTTTGACTAGCTGAGGACAGCAAGGAAAGAGGGT